AAATCAAGATGCATCCGGATGATGAAAAGCATACAGCTTTCAGAACACCTCTTGGCGTCTTTTGTTATACCGTTATGCCTTTCGGTTTGAAGAACGCCGGTGCTACGTATCAACGGGCGATGACGAAGATCTTTCAAGAACACCTTAGGAAGACAGTCGAATGCTACGTTGATGACCTAGTCGTTAAGAGTCGTGATAAAAATGACCACATTAACGATCTAAAGACAATGTTCGAGCTTATGAGAACTCATCAGCTGAAAATGAACCCGACTAAATCCTTCCTGGGAATGTCGAGCGGCAAATTTCTTGGATTCGTCGTCACCACAAAAGGTATTCATATTGATCCTGATAAGGTGAAGGCGATAAACGAACTGCAGCCTCCAAGAAATCTTAAAGAACTCAGAGGATTGCAAGGTCGATTAGCATATATCCGTCGGTTTATATCGAACTTGTCCGGAAAATGTCAACCGTTTTCCAAACTCGCAAAGAAAGGCGTGTCGTTCATTTGGGATGAAGCATGTCAGAAGGCATTCGAAGATATCAAGAAATATCTAGCGAATCCACCTATTCTCGTTGCACCGAAATCGGGCAAGCCGTTTTTGATTTATGTCAAAGCGACGAGCCATTCGTTAAGTGCCTTACTTGCACAAGACGACGATAACGGTCACGAGCAAGCTGTGTATTATCTGAGTCGTACATTGGTAGGAGCTGAGTCTCGTTATCCGATGATTGAGAAGGAATGCCTCGCTTTGGTATTCGCGATTCAGAAAATGCGACATTATTTAGTCGGACAGACGATTTATGTCATTTCCAACATAAATCCCGTCCGAGTGTTCATGACCCAACCGGCTTCCATGAATTGGCGTTTGGCCAGATGGGCTTTACTCTTATCGCAATATGACTTGTACTTCAAACAGCAGAAATCTGTTAAAGGACGAGCTATTTGCGACCTTCTGGCAGAAAACCCTACGAAGGATGTAGTCGAATTGTACGACGACCTGCCAGATGAAACTCACGAAGTTAATACCACCTCACATCAACAAGTGTGGCAATTGTACTTCGATGGGGCTTCCCGATCAACCAACGTGGCAAGTGCACCCGGATGTTCTAAAATCTCCTCAGGAGTGGGGGTCGTTTTAGTTTCCCCGGAAAAGCACGTCTTGCCTAGAGCATATTCACTGACTGAACCATGCTCTAATAACGTGGCTGAATACAATGCATTAATAATCGGACTTAATTTCGCCAAAGAGCTGGGGGTCGAATACCTTGAAGCTTTTGGAGATTCTCAACTGGTGGTTAATCAAATACGAGGAGAGTATGAAGTCAGAAATCGAGACCTGATTCCATACCACCAGGTGGCCATCGAAATAGCAAGCTCGTTTGAAGAATTTTTCATCGAGTACGTTCCGCGTCTCCAAAATACATACGCGGATGCATTGGCAGCATTGTCAGTATCCTTGGCTCAACCTCCCGAAACAGAGCAATTAATTACAGTGAGGACTCATCAGCTTATTGTTCCAATCTACGATTCGAATGCTAAAGAGGTATACTCAACTGGAGTTGAACCCGAAGTTCGAGATTGGCGTTTTCCTATTATTGACTACGTCTTACATGGTATATTACCTGAAGATGTAAGAGAAAGGGAATCGATTCGGCGAAGAGCGCCGAGATTTTATTACAATGCCACATCGCAAACGTTGTATCGACGAGCTTATGATGGTCTTTTACTTCGTTGTCTATCCAGTAAAGAAGCGGAACAAGCACTCAAAGAGGCACATAATGGGATATGCGGTGCACATCAGCCCGGTCCTAAACTCTGCGACCGACTTAGGAGAATCGGATATTATTGGCCAACTATGGTGAAAGACGCAGTCGATTACGCACGACAATGTGTAGTGTGTCAATTGCATGCAAATTATATGCACATACCCCCTGAATATCTGCATCCTTCGGCGACATCGTGGCCGTTTGAAACTTGGGGAATGGATATAGTAGGTCCTATTTTTCCACCTTCGGTTAAAGGGGACCGTTTCATTCTGGCAATCACCGATTATTTCTCGAAATGGGCAGAAGCAGTTCCACTTAGAGAAGTAAAGACGACCAATGTCATCAAATTTATCAAACACCATATCATATATCGGTACGGTGTGCCAAGGCGAATAGTGCACGACAACGGTCCTCAGTTCGTGAGCAACGCATTCATCAAGTTCTGCGGTAAATTCGGGATTAAAGACGTTTCGTCGACTGCTTATAATCCTACAGCTAACGGATTGGCCGAAGCTTTTAACAAGACTATCATCAAAATCCTGGCAAAATTGGTGAAAACCAATAAGCGAGATTGGGATGACAAACTCGGCGAAGCTCTCTGGGCTTATCGTACGACCGTCCGCACGCCTACCGGAGCCACCCCGTATGCTTTAACGTATGGGTGTGAAGCCGTTCTTCCATTGGAAGTGCAGATTCCTTCTCTCCGTATCGCTCTCGTAACGGGAATGACGACGGAAGAACATCATCAGAAACGTCTCGAGGAATTAGAGATGTTAGATGAGAAACGCTTGGAAGCTCAACAACAAATCGAGTTTTATCAAGCTAGAATTTCTCGGGCTTTCGATAAAAAGGTCCGACGACGAAGCTTTAAAGAAGGAGATCTAGTTCTCGCCGTTCGAAGACCTATGATTCTCACTTCTAAGAAGAAAGGCAAATTTGAACCTAAATGGGAAGGACCGTTTGTGATAGAAACAGTCTATTCGAACGGTGCATATCGCCTGGTTACCCAAGATGGCAACAAATTGATGATGCCAATAAATGGGAAGTTCCTGAAAAAATATTATCCGTAATATATTCAGGATAACCTGTGTAAAGCGGGAAGTTCCTAGAGAATCCTATATAGGATATTTCAGGATAACCCGAGATCAGTTCACTATTTTAAATGAGAAGCTGGTCATTTGAATAATTCATTGTTCTTTTACAACTTTTGTTGAGATGAGATTTAATGATAGTTAATCTTTCCTCAGCAAAACCTTGTAATATAATCATGGAAGATGAGATTTGATGATTTGTAATCTCACGCTATGAAACCCCCATCGGTCGGATTGATCAACGATCATCAGTATGTATCAGTCGACAGATTATTTCGTGTCAAATTCTTATGTTTAAAATCAAAATTTCCCACCGATTAGTTTGTGCAAATCAACAAACTCATTGTTATTTGCACCCTACTCCTATTCCTCACTTGGTCAAACCTTTAAACAGTTAGGACCAAAGCCAAAATCCCCTCTCGATTCGTTCCATGAACGAGAGGTCCACAAATTGAGCGATCAAACCTTCCTACAGTTAGGATCGTCTCAAAATTCCCACTTGGTCAAACCTTACTACAGTTAGGACCACAACCAAAATCTCCTTTCGATTCATTTTTGCGAACGAAAGGTTTACTTTTGAATTGAGTAATCAAACCTTATGACAGTTAGGGTTATTCAAACCAACCTATTTTCTCTAAGTGGAGATTCCACTGTGAGTTTCCTTTTCATCAGGAGATAGAATATAAAATTCTCCCTCTCCGATTCTGGGTTTATCTCTACCAACAAACAAGAGACCAGGAGATAGAATATAAAATTCTTCCTCTCCGATTCTGGGTTCATCTCTACCAACAAACAAGAGACCAGGAGATAGAATATAAAATTCTTCCTCTCCGAGTATGGGTTTATCTCTACCAACAAACAAGAGATTGAGAAATGGAATATACAATTCTTTTTCTCTCCGATTTTGGGTTCGTTGTCCTATATAGGAAATGCAACCTATTCACACTTTGAAATCCATGTTGTTCACACATGGGGGATGTTATCTCTATCCCTTATTAGAGATAAGCCTACATCTAACACATGTAGCCTACATATTCAACAGTGTAGTTCAAAGTCTAAAAGAGTTTAATTCTTTTAGCGCAACGTTATATGTGAAACGGACTTAGATAATTCACATACTAGCCCGATTCAAACGGTAATCGGTAAAGGTATATCAAATCCGTTGATGGCTGAGGATTTGCCAAAAATCCTATAAGTATTATGGTTATTTATTCTAAATAAGAATGAGTAATCATAATAAAAAACCTCAATGAGCAAAAAGATTCAATATAATGAGCAAAAAGGTTCACTATATTGACCAAGAATTTTCAAACAAAGCTACAAACAAAAATATAATGTTCTCCGATTACAAGAGTTTATATTGACTAATTTGATTTTCAAGTTTTGACAGCTCTAACGCATAAGTCTGTTCAAGCTCAGCCGTCAATTTAATTTTGAAAGCTTCTTCATCAACACTTTGAAGCGCGGCGACCTCTTGTTCCTTTTCAGCAATTATTTTATCTTGAAAGTTCAGTTGCTGTAACAGGTCTTCCTCAACATGAATTTCCTGCGTCAACTCAGACTCCAAGACATCAAGAGCATCCTTGGCCATTGCAAGTTCCTCCTCTAAGCGAGCTATTTCCGCTCGACTCGATTTTATATCTCGGCGTAGGTTGACCTTGGCTTGTGTCCTTTTGCCAATATTCACCCTAAGCTGATGACTGTGGGCTCTTAACTGTTGGAGTTCGGAGTTGGCAGATTCTTGAGAATCACGCCACGCTTGCAGCCTGGATTCCATATGAGAAGCGATGTAAAAAGGTACGCCTTTGGTGCGAAGAGTTTGCAGAAGTTCAATATGTTGCCTCAAATCAACCAAATAAGCGGTGACTGAATCGGCTAAGTCGTTATACCCTTCCTCTCTGAACCCTGATATAAAACGCTCAAAAGATTTTTTATAATTCTCAAAATACGATCTTTTGAAGAGAATGCGATCGACCATAGAGTTCAAAAAGGAGATGAAGCCTTGGAGATTAGAGCAGATAACAGACTTGTCCGGATCGTCATCAACCAATAACGCTTGGATTTGAGTTGATAATGATGAAGGAACTGCGAGAAAGTCAAATAAGTCAGTACAGTATATATATATGCATACAAGACAACAAACTAAAGCATACCAAATTCGACGGAAGAACCTTCAGCATGACTTGGTTCGCTCAAGGATGATAATCTGGATTCCTGAACAGTCAAGATTGGTTCAGGAATGGTAGCTGTTGATGCACCCGCTACATCAGGGACTTTTTCAACTAAAGTCTCAGAGGACGGCGGGTCCAAACTAAGAGACTCTTTAAGAGGAGATTCTACAAACAGGAGGATTACAATGAGCATAATGATAATCCGAGCTTGAAACAAACGATAAATGAAACTCACCAATTCTAGTCACAACATCGGCCGATGTACCAACTTCTTCAGTTGGTCTCGCTTTTGTTGCAACTGGACTAATCTGGGGAGTGACAGTGACTTCTATCATCATGGGGTCCATAGGAGTAGAAGGTTGAGGTTCAAGAACTGATGATTGCAAATCAACCTCAGTTCCTGCCCATGGCACGAGTTCACTACCCTCCGGTTGTTCAGATGTTTCGGTGATGATAGTAGTATCAGTTCCAGTAACTGGTCCTATAATTCAAATACTTATATGGTTAATCAAGTTAAAATATATATGTATGCATATATGGAGTTTACAGAATAAAGGTCTTACTTTCAGAAGGACCTGCTTCTGTTGAACCGACTCCAACACTGGATTCCGTGGCTGCACCAGGAGTTTTCCCCGATAATAAGTCGGAGATATACTCATGGTCGCCTTCAGAGAGATTGAAATCGAGGTGATGTTCATTGAATTCCTCGACCTCTGTTGTATGCGTGGTCTCTCCTCCAACAGATTCGTGCATTGTGACATCTACAAAATGTGTTGAGTCGTAAATGACACATAAATTTAGACGAATTTGCTCAAAAAGACAATTAATTTTACCTTCGTTGGTCGGGGCTGATTCGAGAGCTCCACTACTGGTACCTGCTTCTTTTAATTTGACTAAAAGGAGAGAAAGCGCACAGGTCATTAGAGGAGGCACACGGTCCGACTCATTCATTTCTCGGATTTCTCTTCCGAGAGGAGAAAGATCAGTACCTGTGTCCGCAGCTGATGGATCAACGTCAGGAGTGGGTGGAACATCAGCCGATCCTTCCTTCAGAGCATCATGCATTTGTTGGACGAAGCTTGTTTCCTCAATTTCCATACCTCCGGGAGAAGCAGCATCAGCTGGCAATTCTCCTTCCTCTCGACTCCCTGCAGAAGTTGAACATGAAATAAGTTTGAACATCAAAAAAGTGTAAAAGCTATAAAAACAAATCGCTACCTTGTTCATCAGAAGAAACACTACGACCGGATGTCTCTTCTACAGCAGGAAGATGAACGCGCGGTTTAGAAACAGCTTTCTTCTGTTTCTTCAGAGGGCGTGCACCAGAACCTTCATGACGATGTTTGGTGCGTAACTCAGCTCGGGGAGAAACTTGAGTTTGAGCTTGAGTAGAAGTTCGAGATATTTGCCGACGAATGAGAGGCACCATATCCTCTTCATCCTCTTCGTCGCAACTAAGAACTTCTACCGTCATCCGGTTAGGATGTTCCATGACGACTCTTTCCTTACGTTTCTTTGGAGCAGCTTGTGGTTGGGTCGGAGCGACAGAAGGCCTTACAAGTCCTCTATCAAAGAATGAATCGGGAAGGCCAGATACTTCCTCAGAACTTGATTCATTCTCGTCTTCCCCTTCTGAAGTTTCGGTTGCTTCACTATCAAACTCCTCTTCACTATCAACTGGGAGAGCCGGTTCCTTTCCTTTCCTTGATGATTCAGCAGCCTCTTTTCCTCGAGGCGACATCACAGCTTCACGAGGCGGTTCTGTTGCTTGTCGTGGAGCTATTTCCTCCTCTGAGTCTGATATCCTCCTACGTCGAGTGGCAATATTGGTGGCTATCAGCCATTTGCAAAAGAGGAAAGTCATCCGTAGAGGCGGCGTCTCTAAGGGGAGATCAAATTCAACATTGGTGCAGCCGGCAATGCTCCAAAACCAAGCTCTCGCCCCGTCGATAAGTCCACCTCGAAAGCTGAGGTGACGATTCGGGTTGCCGATGTATATCTGATCATACCCGAACTGACGGGCGAATCGACATGGAAGATAGGGTTCGATGTGGCAAACATCCCTTATCCTGAACAACAGATATCCAGGTCGAATATTCATCAACCATCTGAAGCACCCGACATCCAAGATGGTACGATTCTGCCTTGGGTCTTCAGCATCCACTAAGGTAGTGTTGTAAGTACCGGAGAACTGAGGGAAGCAAGGAAAAAATTCCCAACATTTGTGAATTTTAAACTGCCTCGTTATGTCCGGCTCTCGATGTTTGCTCCATTTGCAATTCTCGAGATTTTGCAACAGAGGGACACTGAGATCTACCGTATCAGGAGCCTCCATTAAATCTGGTCGATGAAGTACCAACCAGGCCATTAAGTAAGTATAGGGCAGCTCCAGCTTCGGAACGGACAGGCTGGCGGAAGGTTTCTTTTTCTCCTGGGTAAATGCGGAGATTAGTTGCCGCAATCCACTATGAATATCGGCCACCATAGCGGGAAGCAAAGATAATTTGCGACCTGTAGCCAGCTGGACGGCCGGATACAACACTTCCATTGGCATCGCATCTGCGGATTGATGGGGAACTACACATCTCTTTAACCATAAGGTCAAGAGGTTTCTTAAAACTCTCAAATCGCGATCCTTTGGAGAGAATACGATCAACCATAGAATTCAAAAAGGAGATGAAGCCGTCGAGATCAGAGCAAATGCCGGCTTTATCCGGATCCTCGTCTGCTAACAAAGCTCGGATGCGATCTGATAATGATGATGAAGGAACTGCGATGAAGGCAAATAGGTCAGTACAGGACATATATATACATACAAAACAACAAACTAAGACATACCAAGTTCGATGGAAGAACCTTCAGCATGACTTAGTTCACCCGAGGATGGTAACCTGATTTCCGGAACAACCAAGGTTGATTCAGGAATGGTAGCTGTTGATGCACCCGCTACATCAGAGGCTTTTTCAATTAAAGCTTCAGAAGACGGCGGGTCCAAGCTAAGAGGCTCTTTAAGAGTTGATTCTACAAACGAAGGAGTTACAATGAGCATAATGAGATGTTAACCCAAAATTTGAAACAAAATTATGGGTAAAATGTACCAGCAATAGGCATAACATCAGCCGACGTACCAACGCCTTCAGTTGGTCTCGCTTTTGTTGCGACCGGACTAATCTGGGGAGTGACAGTGACTTCTATCATCATAGGGTCCATAGGAGTAGAAGGTTGAGGCTCAAGAACTGATGATTGCAAATCAACCTCAGTTCCTGCCCATGGCACGAGTTCGCTACCCTCTGGCCGATCAGACGTTCCAGTGATTATAGTAGTATCAGCTCCAGCAGTTGGTCCTATAATTCAGACACTTATATGATTAATCAAGTCAAAATATATACGTATATATATATGTGGAGTTCACAGAACCAAAGTCTTACTCTCAGAAGGACCGGCTTCCGTTGAACCAATTCCAACATCTGAGCCGATAGTTGCATCAGAGGCTTTCTCTAACAGAGAATCAAGGATTTGTTGATGGTCGTCCTCTGAGATATTAAAGTCGAAATTATTAAAATCATCGACTTTGGTGGCATGGGTAGCTTCTCCTTCAATAGGCTCGTGCATCGGGATGTCTAAAGAACATGAGGAACCATAAATAACATGTAAATTTAGACGAATCTGCCCAAGACAAAGATCGATTTTACCTTCATTGGTCGGGGCTGATTCGAGAGCTCCACTACTGGTACCTGCTTCTTTTAATTTGACTAAAAGGAGAGAAAGCGCACAGGTCATTAGAGGAGGCACACGGTCCGACTCATTCATTTCTCGGATTTCTCTTCCGAGAGGAGAAAGATCAGTACCTGTGTCCGCAGCTGATGGATCAACGTCAGGAGTTGGTGGAACATCAGCCGATCCTTCCTTCGGAGCATCATGCATTTGTTGGACGAAGTTTGTTTCCTCAATTTCCATACCTCCGGGAGAAGCAGCATCAGCTGGCAATTCTCCTTCCTCTCGACTCCCTGCAGAAGTTGAACATGAAATAAGTTTGAACATCAAAAAAGTGTAAAAGCTATAAAAACAAATTGCTACCTTGCTCATCAGAAGAGGCACTACGACCAGACGCCTCTTCTACAGCAGGAAGATGAACGCGCGGTTTAGAAACAGCTTTCTTCTGTTTCTTCAGAGGGCGTGCATCAGAACCTTCATGACGATGTTTGGTGCGTAACTCAGCTCGGGGAGAAACTTGAGTTTGAGCTTGAGTAGAAGTTCGAGATATTTGCCGACGAATGAGAGGCACCATATCCTCTTCATCCTCTTCGTCGCAACTAAGAACTTCTACCGTCATCCGGTTAGGATGTTCCATGACGACTCTTTCCTTACGTTTCTTTGGAGCAGCTTGTGGTTGGGTCGGAGCGACAGAAGGCCTTACAAGTCCTCTATCAAAGAATGAATCGGGAAGGCCAGATACTTCCTCAGAACTTGATTCATTCTCGTCTTCCCCTTCTGAAGTTTCGGTTGCTTCACTATCAAACTCCTCTTCACTATCAGCTGGGAGAGCCGGTTCCTTTCCTTTCCTTGATGATTCAGCAGCCTCTTTTCCTCGAGGCGACATCACAGCTTCGCGAGGCAGTTCTGCTGCTTGCCGGGGAGCTATTTCTTCCTCCGAGTCTGATATCCTTCTACGTCGAGTGGCAATATTGGTGGCTATCAGCCATTTGCAAAAGAGGAAAGTCATCCGTAGAGGCGGCGTCTCTAAGGGGAGATCAAATTCAACATTGGTGCAGCCGGCAATGCTCCAAAACCAAGCTCTCGCCCCGTCGATAAGTCCACCTCGAAAGCTGAGGTGACGATTCGGGTTGCCGATGTATATCTGATCATACCCGAACTGACGGGCGAATCGACATGGAAGATAGGGTTCGATGTGGCAAACATCCCTTATCCTGAACCTTATCCTGAACAACAGATATCCGGGACGAATGTTCATCAACCATCTGAAGCACCCGACATCCAAGATGGTGCGATTCTGCCTCGGGTCTTCAGCATCTACTAAAGTAGTATTGTAGGTACCGGAGAACTGAGGGAAGCAGGGGAAGAATTCCCAACACTTGTGAATTTTAAACTGCCTCGTTATGTCGGGTTCTCGATGCCTGATCCATTTGCAATTCTCGAGACTCTGCAACAAAGGAATGCTAGAATTTGCCGTCTCAGGAGCTTCCATTAAATCTGGTCGATGAAGTACTAACCAGGTCATCAGATAAGTATAAGGTAGCTCCAGCTTCGGAACGGACAGACTGGCAGAGGGTTTCTTTTTCTCCTGAGTAAACACGGAGATTAATTGCCGTAATCCACTATGAATATCGGCCACCATAGCGGGAAGCAAAGATAATTTACGACCTGCAGCCAGCTGGACGGCCGAATACAACACTTCCATTGGCATCGCATCTGCGGATTGGTGGGGAACTACACATCTCTTTAACCATAAAGCTAGAAACCCCGCCAGCAGAGCAGTAGAGCTAATCGGAACACCAGCTTGCCACAGATAAGAGCGGAATTTAGTGCCGTGCAAAAATCCATCTTCTGAGCGCGAAGTATAAGAATGCGCGTTGGTTTTCTCTAACAAACGGTTAATTTCATCCGTACTCAAGGGAGACAATCCGCACACATCTGCCGAACGGACATCCAGATTCTTGAAGAGATAATCAGCGAATTGTTTTAAACTGACTTGAGGAGACTTCTTTCTGGCTTTGGGCTCCATCTCGGCCATGGCTATATGATAATGACAGGTCAATTCCCATAGAGTGTCATAGGTCGCAGTCGAGCTATCTTTCATCTTAATCAGCTGATTGGTGGTCGGAAAGAACTCTTGATATGGGACATCGCCCATAGGCAAAGCAGACACTTGCATCATTTCATGCAGTGGTAGTCCAAGTTCCCCGTTCTTGGTAAAGAATGTATTGGTGTCCGGGTTGTAGATCTCGAACAAACAAAGGAAATGACTTACACTGCTCTGCAAGCCATGCATGGTGGCACGAATCGGGACATCCAACCCTAATCCTGCTAATTCTCGCCCAAAACGTTTCAACACATATTGGGTCATCCTGGTCCACCACCACTTGTTCCCAGAATAATGGACCCATCCATAACACCTGAAAGTCTCTCTGGGCAATCTTTTTCCTGCTGCCGCTAACCGGTTCTTCACAGTGTTGGCTTGCACTATCTTTTCGTTCTGAGGAATATTGTCTTGTCCTAAGACACCCGGATGAAGTCCTCTCACATGAGCTCTTTCACTGGAACCTGGAGTTGCTTCCTTTCCAATGAAACCACAATGAATGTGCTCGTGGTTTTCGGTTAATTTCCAGAACATCTCTCGTCCAACTGATAGGTTCCTGAACATTAACAGTGAATGATCCCGAGGGATAAAAGGCAGATATAAGAATGATGATCCACTCTGGTGCAACCATTGCGCAGGCTGGCAGAAAGCAATCTTCGGATCTTTCACCGAATCACCAAACAAGAAATCCGGCTTCCTTATGCATTGATTCGAGTCTTGCTCCGAGATCAAGGGCGCATCTGTGATTAATCGTCGTAGAACACGACAACTACCTCGCTGGATTAATTCTCTATCATTTTCGCTATAATCAGATTTAAACTGGGGAGATGATGCAATTAACGGAATTCCCTCATAATAAGAATGGGTCATGCTACTCTGACCCGTAACCGCATCAGCATTAAAGATGGAGGAAGGGAATCAGACTGATAAAAGAGGCATACACATAAATTGTGTAAGTGTCATCCTAAAATTTTAGAGAAAAGTGGTATATCTCACTCTATAAGATATAGTCGTTATCTCATAACAGGTGTGACGATTTTCTATCCACCATATGTATAAAGGAGGTATGCGGGCATTATAACGGCATACCAAAACCTTTCAATACATATGGGATGATATAAAATCGCCCCTGTGTATTATGAAGTGTGTTTTGTCAAAGCAAAACAAACACTTTTAAGCGTCGATCCCCTCAAAGGAGGATACCGGCTCTTCTCGAAGGTACCTCAAAGGATACAAACGAGGATCTGCAAGCAAATATAGGAACATACATATGGAATTGACGAAATACAGTATTTAAATTCGTGAAAAGGTGAAAGAAATATACCTCCACGTGAGGGTGCAGCAGGGGCAGCCTCCTCAGGGCTCTGAACAGTCGGTCGGATTCCCTTTCCTCGAGCTCTACGCGGCGACATAATGAGCAAATGATCTACAAGGAGACCCAATGAAAAAAGTCAAGATTTTAAGCATGAAATCGACCAAAATGTCACAAAGTATGGCCGAAACAATGCATGCACAGTCCCAGTTGAAGAAAATCAAGGTTTTGAAGAAAAGAGGGAAATCAAACTTACCAAATCCAAGTGGAATCTCCCCAAACAAAGCCCAACCCAAATCAGAAACGAATAGGAGAAGAAGAGGTGAAAAACTGGTCGAAAATCGCTCGAAAATCACCCAAGAATCGCTCGAAAAATCGCCAAAATCCGACGTGAAAAACCCTAAAAAACCTAAGTTCGCGATTTTATACCCCCTGTCTCGCTGAGCGAGACAGCAAATACTGTCTCGCTGAGCGAGACAGCAAATACTGTCTCGCCCAGCGAGAATTTAAGATTTGGGCATTTGGAAAGTTAGTATTCAAATCTGGATTCAAATATAGTCCTCGTTTCCTTTTGGGGCCACGGCTTCAGCAATAATATACAATATTTTGTTGAGAGCTTATTTTCAATATAAATTCAGATCTAAATACATTAGTTTTGGATCCTTTGCATTTCAGTTTAGAAGACTTTTAGCTTGTTATTATTTTTTTATTATATGGATAATTTGTGTAGAAAATTTTGCATTAGGAAGTCTCAAGACTATCCCGTGTCTCGCAGTATAAAAGTGATGATATATTATGCTATCAAGAGCAAAGAACACCCCACCTAGTATTGTATATTTTTTGTCTACTTCTGTTTAAAAATATTAATCATTCTGATAGCCTAATTGAAATCAGTTCTATATTACAGGAATTGGTATTTTTTGGCAATAACTACTACTATTATTATGTGGATTCGAAAGCATAAAGTTGTTGACATTATTTATCAATTTAGCGAGACTCAAACTCACCAACCACAGTAGTTTAATGTCGTCTAATTGAGAAATGTTAATCAGAGGAACTATTTGAGTGTGTCTCGATGAAGGGTCTACATGTTTACACAATTATCTGTCTCCCCTTCTGTTGTTCCTTCCCTCTTTAATCTTCTGCTCTCTCTTTCTTTAAAACCCACCAGAGAAATAATATGAACCGATTATCTCTTTCATCCCTTAACTCATATTCTCAACCCAATCGAAACCCATCTCTCTACTGTAGGCGTCAAAAAATGCTAATAGATATCCCAAGCATAGAGAAGATCACTCAAAAATTCACAAGAAAGGATTTCATACTGTTTTGGAAAAATCAAAACAAGTATGAACTGTCTCGCCAGCGAGACAGTCTTTGCTGTCTCGCCAGCGAGACAGTCTTTGCTGTCTCGCCAGCGAGACAGTCTTTGCTGTCTCGCCAGCGAGACAGTGTTGAAATAGTCAAAACTACATTTGTAACTGCCCTACACGTGTCCATTAACTGCCAAGGGACGTGGGAAACATCATGGGCGAAAATCACGTGGATAACTGCCAAAATAACGGAGTTTGAAACGTGAGAGAATAGTTACAGCGAGAAACTGCCATTTTCCGAGACAGCATTTACTGTCTCGCTGAGCGAGACAGCAAATTTACTGTCTCGCGGGTCGAGACAGCAAACGCTGTCTCGCCCAGCGAGACAGTAAACACTGTCTCGCCGTACTGACTTCTTCGATTGTTAAGTTTTTGCAGTTACTGACCCTTGAGGC